AAACTCTCTCATATTAGTGTATTATAAAACTATTATAAAGTATTATAAAATTAACTATTATTATCATATCAGTGATAACACCTAAGTAACATACATGTGAAAAAACATTCTTTAAAATGACACCAATCTTAAGATGTTAAATAGTGTAATGTGTGCATACCTAATTCTGTAACTATATTCGCTGATTTGGTGTTATATACTTTTATTTTATATGTTTCTGCACGACGAAACCAATGCTACGATGAGAAGTGTTGCCGCAGTATTGCTGCGAAATATGCGGCTATAAAAGTCAGCAGCTACGCGAAGCGTGAATGAATCGTGCGCGAACAATATCGAAAAATTTGGGAGAAAGAGAAGCGCCTAGTAAGGTGGAAGAAACGGGATCAAAAAATGCGCGAGCGAGAGGATATCGTATTTAGGTATTTAGAAACAACAATGATGCTCGTATGTTTTACTAAAAACTCAACCTTCTGATTCGTAGAGCTGCCAACCTAAATTTGGCAGCATCACTTGACTACTATAGGGAAGGATGACGATTAATGTTGCCATCTATACTTTTTGCTTTTCCGCAAAGGATCCTCCTTTATTAGCCATAAGTTTGCTCAAAGAAAAAACCAAGAATGTTAAATATGTACTGTGTACGGAAAATCATACGAGTAATTAAGGATGGTATATAAAATATATATAAATACAATTAAAATTGTATATATTAAATTATGGATTGTAGGTAAGTTTAACTTTACCAAAAAAAAACGTGGCCAAAAAAACGTATGCAGATGTTCTGCCTCACAACTGACACAGTCAATTCCACATGGCACTATTTTTATCCAATACAGGATTGTCCGAACTGAAAGAATTGATGAAACAATTAATGCAACAAGTTTCAAACATATTAACAGCACTTGTAACATAACAACGATTAGTGGATCGCTAAAATAATCTTAAAATTGTAAAATTAAGTGTTATTATAAAGGGACTTGGAACACATTCTTTCGGGCTCAGAAATTTTGTGGAAGAAAGTTTAATAAATGAATTGTTAGCATCTGAAATGCACTCCACTGAAAAAAACGATATTAAAATCCTCAATTACCATATATTCTGTATCAATCTTTCTATTAAAACTACCCATGATGATATATCTGATATTATAAAACAAGGCTTTAAACAATAGTTATAATTCAGAGCACAGAAGGACATATATGGTGCCGATTGATTCGACGGCGTACTGTCCTCCAAAAAATAATAACACAAAGCATAATTATATGAATTTTTTTTCAAAATCGTTGGTAAACGATATATAATTGGTAGACTTTTACAGCCAAAAACAGTACTGGGGCTCGAGAATTATGAATGTGCTAAGAGTGTTTGGCACATACAGCTATTTTTATGGGAAATTTGAACGAGACATCAGTAATGAAAAAACAAATTGTAGATATAAGTTAGAGTACTTGGGGCCGCCTCTATCTACATAGCAGATATTCCAACTCCACACAGAAATCATGACGTCCTGTCGTGTACACGACTATTCTTAACTTTATTTAAATATTAATAAAATATTAATTTAAAGCAGGATAAAACAAAAATTAGAATTTCAACAACAAAAGTCAAAACACTACGCAAACCACAGTAACTCGAACCAAAAACGCGCCAAGCTGTTATGACTTTTTAATCCGTTCGGCCAATTGTGTGTTCGCTTTGCACTACTCGAAAATTCGAACTCTGAACAAATTAGAGATGCCAGATGTGCAATCAAGTGCAGTAGCTTTTTAAGTTTTTCATACGTTTCACATTGTTTGAATGTTTCGCTACATCATTTCCCTGCCAGTGATTGAGTTACGTACGATGTCACGATAAGTTGAAGTTCGTTGTTTGGTATAAATGCTGCTTTTATGCGATCGATATTTACGCGTACTGGATTCCCTTTTATCAATAGATCGTACGTCTTATCAGTCCGACTTATAATCTTATATGGTCCATCATATGGTGTTTTTAAAGGTGGTCGTACCGCATCATCGCGCGAGGAAACGTGAGTACATTTTTCCAAGCCGCGTTGTACGAAAACTTTATCTTTTGAATGTAGTGATATTGGTATTGGGCAAATGTTATTCATGGCCTGTCTAAAGCGTTGCACAAATACTGAATGCATCTGGTCGTCTTTGATTTCCTCAAAAAAATCACATGACAGCTTTAAGGCGCTACCGTATACGATTACTGAGTATCGTATACATTCTTTATGAGTGTTCCTTAGGCAAAGGATGACATGTGGAAGTACTTCAGTCCAGTGTTGGCCGTTTGTACACTTTAAGGTTGTTTTTAACGTGCGATAGAAGCGTTCAATCATGCTATTGCTTTGTGGATGACAAGGGTTTGATCGCAGTCCTATTCTTCAATGACAATACAATCTACTAAATAAAATAATTTCTGAATTAATTGCTAAATCAATGCCAATCATCTACACAAATTGAAAATACAAAAAAAATTAAGAATAAACAAATTCGTACTGACACGAAGCTATATATCTTGAAATGACAAAGAAATTATTAAAGGAATAAAGCGCATCAACGATTTGAGCAATTATTCTCGCGAATCTGAAATTTCTATAACAAACTCCAACAAAATAAATTCAAACAAAATACTATTTATCTACAATGTCAATAAGAAAATTATTCTTCCATTCGCGGAAAGGAAAAAATGGGCAAAATATTTAATTATTTAACCCTGGACGCATAATGTACGTAAATTTGACGTATACGTTTTCGTTTTTTACAGTTATTTCATTTTTGTGTTCATATATTGCTCTCGCGCTCTTGATATGTTCAATCGGGATCTAACTCTTGCGTAAGGTGTATGTTAAGTGTCGGTAAGTCATGACATAAGTTAGATATTGAGTCGTTGTACGTCATTTTTACGTATGATTATACTTTGTGTAACTTTTATGGCTAATAAAGTATTTTGAAAAACTTTTATTTCTTTCAAATTTCAGTAAAGTTTTAATAGAAATGGAATCAAAGAGATTTAATATTGTTGAAATATTACAAAAAGATGAAGAAAATGATCAGAAAGGTGGAAAATCTAGTTCTAGTCGAACATATTGTGCCATCTGTTCATATAAGAAAAAAAGAATGACAAACATTAGATGTAGTTCTTGTAAAAAGCCGATTTGTAGAGAGCACAATCGTGATACATGCTTTAAGTGTATTTCTGCATAGGATTAATTATTATTATATAACTAAAATTAGCTGATTTGAACCAAAGTTCCTAAAATAATTTTAATTATCTTCGTAACATTTATGACGATCTCAATATGACTTGCTATTTCTATAAGCTAACTTTAAGTTGTTCATTTTATAAGTATATATAAATTTCATTTACTTTTTTGTTTCTATTATTATTTTTTGATTTATTCTAAATAAAAATAAAAAAAAAATATTAAGAAATATTGAAAATTTACCCTTAATACATAATTTTGAAAAATGCAATTCCTTTTTAAGTGAAAATCATTGGCATATTATATTTATTATGTTTATTTAAAAAATGTGTTTGAAAGTATTACTGTTTTGTTTTAATTTGAATAAATAAATACTTCTTTAAAAACTTGTAAAAAACTTGCGCACATTTAAATTAATATAACGGCAAAATATAAACTCTGAAAATTGCACGTCATTTTTACGTATGATTATTCTTAACAGTAGTAGAAATATGATTATACGTCCAGGGTTAACTATGCCACGTTGGTGGCCCCTTTACATGATCTAGTAACTGCATTAGCAAAGTGAAAATATTCATTAGTTCCGTACCAGTCACTTTTAGCTTGAGCATTAGTTTTGATACAACCCGCCTGCCTGTGCACTTAATATTTACATATAGATATTTAGATTTAGATTAGAATTAGATGCATTTAGATAGTAAGATCGAACGTGTTTCGGTTAAGCAAAACGTTAGTAGTTGATCTTTTTTGCTTGTGTTTTGATACAATTATTTTTCTATTTATCAGCACGCAAATAAGCACCTTATAAGGCCTATTAGAACTACATACCTGAAAAATCAACAATTTCGATCCACTTTATTGACCATTGCTTAATTAGATGAATTGCTGCTTTTTGGTATTTGATATATCACTATTATGGGAACCGATCGCGCATCTGTTATTCGCAAATTTTTTTCTTAATTATATTAAAAAAGTTTTTTTTTAATTTCCGGTAACTGAAATTTTACCTTTATCAATTTGAAACATCTGGCGCTTGTTTCAGCCTATAATTTTTAATAATTCAAAAATTTTTTATTTTTATTCTTATTTATGATACTGTGCCAGAAAAGTCTTCTTTTTTTCTGAACTTTGGAGACTAGAGCTGTAACAGGTGACGATACTAAAAAGGAATAAATTGAAACTTTAGTAATTGGAATGATGTGGTTGCTTTTGTAACAAGACATAAAATGAATTAACATTAGATGAACATTTCATTCATCAAATCCTTTAATATCATTGCAACTTATGTTAAGTCACAACATATTTAGGCATTTCATTTATATTACAATTTAGTTCATATCAATTAATATTACAATCGTAATCCAGTAGGTGTTTCCGAAAGATGCAAAATATGTAAATAAATGTGTAATACTATACAGGCCCATATTGATGCGAACAAAGCGTCAGAATTTGCACTTCATTATCTAAAGTTTTTAAAGCAATTAAAGGAACATAAGATATAAGATACAAAATAATGCAATAATAATTGAAGTAATAAGATCAGATATTCAAAAAACAACGCTCCTGGTCATGATAAAATTAACGGCAAAATAATTAAAGAAATTCGTCAAATTGCAGAAACCCTTATTTAGAACATATTTAATGACATGCGTAGCCTTGTCTATTTTCCAGGGTCATGAAAACTTTTTGTAGCTATTATGATTCCTAAACCACGTGAAGATACATAAGTAGTCATCTCACACAGGTCCATAAAAAAGGTCCAAAAGTCTTCAAGAAACTATTACCTAAAAAAATGAATCGGTCCTCGACCTTAACCAAGTTGTACCCCAACATCAATTTAGATTTAGAGAAAAGTATAGCACCACAGAACAAGTACATAGAACTGTCACACACGTGAGGAAATCATTAAAAAGCAAACAATATTGCACTGCAGTTTTCTAGATGTCGCAAATATTAAAAAACATGGCGCTGTAGAGTCATTCTCCAATTCTGAATAACTGAAGTAGTTGTATACGAAAAATAGATTACTTCATTTTGAGACACAACTTTGTTCGGCATTTTAAATTACGAAATCCATTTTATAACGGAAGAAAAAAGTCATGTCGCAAATAACAGAGAAAATTGACTTTTAAACAAATGGGTGAACGAAAAAATCGGCTAATAATTAAAGAAGTAGCTGTTTACCTAAACAGATATGCGGTAACCAAAGCAACGTTCAATATATAGTTGGAGTATCATCAGTCAGCGGATATACATATTACTAACACTACACCAAGTTAGTAAGTATAAGTGCCTCACGCTAGTCAACTTCCACAACTAAGTCAATACTAGATAAGCCATTATTGTTATGTATGTCAGGTTCCGTATGGCAACACTATTCTCAAGAAAGTCAGTATCAAGTTTGTCACAACATATAAAAGATTATCAACCAGCTATGAGAAAAAGCAATTTATCTGAATGTTATGGTCTGCCAAAACCTTGGCTCTCATTTATAATAGCCTATACAGTAGTTATCAATATATGTACTTATAGTAATTCAGAAAACTTAACATGATAAAACAAACCTCTACTGATTCATCTGAATAATATAAATAAGCTCGTTTAAATATTTCAGTTTCACTATGGTCGACCAGAGATTTTTATTGAAAGCCAGATAAATAAGATAGAAAAATTTGCGTCAATTAACGAATCGAAGATAGAAGAAATGCTAAATTAACCAACGTTATTAGGTAAAAAAAACTAACGCTCAATTGATAAATGCCCACCTAGTAATCATTCGATTACCTCGGACACCTCTGGTATGAAGAGGAGTGCATTCATATTTCGAGCGAATCATGGCAGGTGTTAAAGCTGCGTCTTGATCTTCTGTTGGTGCCCCGGTGAAAGCAAATAACACTCAGCTTATTTCCTTTTCCGTCAGCAAACAGCACCAAATTTAAACTTTCGGGTGCACATCCCCACATCAACCTCTTAATAAGGGCATACAGAACGCGTAGGTGAGGTTACCGAATCCTAACCAGACTTAACATCGGTGAGCTTTCAACTTTTACGGAGAAGGACAAAGTAGCATTTAATTGGGCCTAAGAAAATTGTCTGAGCAAAGCTAAACAAAATTTGGTAGATGAACTCTTCTCTCAGATCTTAAGATCGAACTGGTTCAATTTGGACAAGAAACGTATCAGTTAGCTGATTCAACTAAGGCGTAACGAGCTTAGCACTATAGTCTCAATGTTGGTGGGTTACTGCGTCCTGGGAAAACACACTGTAAGTATAGGTCCACCTAATAATGATTTTCATCGTGATTGTGGCTCTACTGATGAGAAGCAAACAGTAATCAACCTCATATATCTGTGTCCATCATTGACTGGAATAAGATTTAAAATTTTTGGGCCGCCTTTTCTTATTAACTTGATGATTTTCTTTTACTTGAATGGGGAAGTCTTGCCATTTGGCAGGGAGTCGTGTTATCACAACAGGCTATTATTTCAGTTCTCATGGGCTTTGGGCACAAGGTCACTACTTCAACCTAACCTACAATTTAATGAAGGGTACATAATTTAATACCTGATTACTTCACAGTAGAGAATTTTGGACACCAGCATTGAAATTAAGCTTGCAGAAATGCAAGTATTTGAAAATATAATTTTAATTCATGGGATTCGAGATCACCGTCTGCTAAGAAACTCGTTTAAAATTTCATACATTGTACATTTCACACATTGTTTTTTTTCTAAAATGTTGTAATCATGCTTTTAGACACATTAGTACATTAAATATACAAATTTTTCGTACACTATACGAATTATACTTCCTGATTTGTTTTATATTGACAAATTAAGTTCGCTTTTCTTTAAAGGTAATGGTTTTGGTTTTACTTTTGTTCCATATTCGAAGCTTTTTGTCAATTTCTGATTTATCTGCCAAAAAAATTCTTCAACCGATTTTACAATTTTAGTTTTAGTCATCTTATTAGGTTTGGTATTTGAATTGCAATTGCGATGTTAGCTTACTTAATATTTTTCTGGGAAATCGGTTTCTTATGTACACTGCCGTATTTAGTGCCGCTGACTGTAAACTTTGAGGGAGACTGCGTTCGGTTTGTTCAGTAATGCCGTTAACGGCTTAAATGCATTTGCATAAATTAAAACATGGAATAGGGAACAAAAACAGAAAAAATAAAGTATTTCTCAACAGTATAGCGAAAAAATTAAAAATAGGCCTTTTCGATCTCTCGCAAGTATGGCAAAAAATGAGTGCTGGCCTATATTGGCTACGCGAACCATTGGCATCATTGTTGCAGTCTTGCATATGTGCGCATAATGCAAGCAAATTACATTTCGTATAAAAATAAATAATTAATGGTAAATTGTTAAAATGATAAAATGGAATGGTAAAAATCTTGGAAAATTCAAAATAAAGCACTGAAATTTTTTTTTTTTAATTTTCAAATTTATGAAATTTTTGAATTTTGTTTGAATTTTTATTTACATATAATGTTTGACATATGATTGCAATATTCGTTGCAATTGCTAATGAAGGTTCACAATAGTTTGCTTATTGCGTTGGTAACACTTTTTTTTCTGGCTTTTTTTTATACCTATACTTTAGCGTAGGCCAGCATCTTGCTGTTTTTTGCCATACTTGCAAGCCACCGAAAAGGCCTAATATCAATTTTGGGTTACTTCATAAAATTTTATTTAATAGTAAGTTATATGTATATCAGTACATACGTGCTGATATAGTACTAAATCAAAAAAAAAGTACTAAAATATTTACTACAACAACATAAATTTAGACGGATAAATTTATATTATTATTAGGTTTAGATTGATTTTAATCTTAAATTACAGCTTAAGTTTAACAAAATTTTAACATAATTTAATAATTTCATTTCATAAAGAGGTTTTTTTCGAACAGTAGTGAACTACAACAACAAAAATTCATTTTATATTATTTTAATGAAATGAATTTTTGGCTGACCATACAGCTGTTTCGAGTATTACCAAATACCCATCATCAGTGGTCTTGGAAATAATTTTTGCATTTAATTATTCGTAAATAATTATTTTTCAGTCTGCAAGTACCAGGAATCGAACTCGGGTCCTGCCAAATGTGAAGCTCAGAATCAGCGCTCCTTAACCAACTGACCCAAAACCGTACTTTGGGTCATAAACCAGCCGTAGAATAATTGAATTAATTAAATAATTATGTTTTTATTTTTAATTGTTAAATTTCAATACTATTTTGTGTGAAGAGGCATTATTTGTTGCATGATTTGTTCTTTTTTATGTATAGAATCTAATCTAGGAACGTAATGCAGAGAAGTCATGCTAATGTTACTCCACTAGTCGCACAGGCGAGACCAATATTTTGTGAATATAAGTTGTAATTTAACGTAATTTAATTTAATTTCTAAATTTCCTATCGAAAAATATTATTTTTTATAATTTATTTTTTATTAATTATTTCAATTAAATATTTTTCAAACAACTTCCAACACTTTAGGATCACTTACTGAAATCGCATTTGAAAATGTTTCGTCTACACACAAAAGTAGGGGAAAATATACAAAAAACTAATATTTTAAGTTAAAACACAAATAACGTTAAGAGATTCAAAATTTTTAGTTTACATTACTCGTATAAATACTTAACAAAACTAATTATTTTAAATAACATATGTTAATTGATGCAATTTTTCACATACGTTACGAACTGAAAGAACGCAAATATCAATTCCTTCACAAATTTCCAGAATTTCTTCCAGACTTTACTTTTACTTTTTAAGCTGTTCCATGAAAATCCGTGTAAAGAGCGAACTTTGGCGGTTTATTTGTGTTACGGTCTCAGTTTGTACTTTACTTGTGTTTTACTTGAGTTTTACTATAAGTAGCTCGTGGACAGACCTAATATTTTCTATTTCAAACAAAATTGTGAAATCCAAGTAATTTTTTTTGCACCCTTTAGTGTAAGCGTAAAATCAGGAACGCACATTTGGGTGCAAACGTAATATTAGAAAAGCGAAAAGAGTTTTGTGTCGCACAGTGCGGTGTGCGAAGAGAATTTTGTCCCACGTGTGATTGTGCACATTTTGATAAGTCAATCGCACAACACAACTGTGTGTGCGCATTCATCGCGTGGTGTGATGTGAAATTTTAAGCAGCACCTAAAATAGGTGTGCGCACATTCTTTTGCTTAACACCACAAATGCAGAGTGCAGTTTTGTGCACCACATCCCGAAGTCTGGTTAAAATTCATTTAGCAGCGCGACACAGATATTTCGTGATGAAATATGTCCTTTTTTATGTTGAAAATCTTTAAGGAAGCTTTAGCTTATCTAAAAGTAGGTAATATACTTGAAAGGAATATATATATACAATCGGATAGTCAAGCTGCTTTAAAGTCCTTGAGTTCAGTCCAATTCACATCTAGGACGGTGTTTGACAGTTCAATATTTCTCTAATCTGGGTTCCCGGTCATAGGTATATTTACGGCAATTGTAAAGCAGACGAGCTAGCCAGACGTGGTGCTTCAGGGAACCACTCGGAACACCGAAACAATTTGGGCATATCGTTGACATCATGCAAATTGATTTTGAGTTCTTCCGGTGTCGAACTTTTTAACAAAAGATGGGAAGACTCTGCGATATGCAGGCATCTGAATGCAATGTGGCCACAGACCAACAATAGAAAATCGAAATCTCTCTTAGAGATGTCCTGTAGAGATATCAGTCTTGTAGTAGGTTTACTAACAGGTCATGGAATTCTAGGTAATCATGCTTGGGGACTGAATCTACCGTTCAACCATTTATGCCGCAGTTGTGGTGAGAATGACGAAAGTGCCTCTCATCTGCTTTCTTCCTGCCCGGCACATGCGCGGCGTCGCCTTAAATTTTTGGGGGCTTTCTTTTTTGAGGATCTTGAGGAACTTCGAGACCTCCCTCTATATAGCATTATAAGCTTTATTGAAGGTTCTGGATGGGCCTATAGGCCTAAGGGGATCCCCCTAGGATCGCCGGTATAACCTAACCTAATCTATGTTGAAAATCATTAGTATTCACCCTTTTCGTTGCTTGTGTCGCTGCTACCAATGCCACTTTTATTGTTGTAGTTGATTTCAACATTAACTTGCAATAATAACAGTCTACAAATACCAACTAATTCATCTCGCGTTAAAAATTTTTCAATGTCAACAAGCTTTTCAAAATTCTCGAAGTTGTCGGTTGCCCCTGTCGCATGCATATTCAAATACAAACTTATGCAGTGTTCTTATTGTTTCAGCTCTGCCTGTTTTTAAATTCTTATACATTTAGAAGCATAACTAAAATCGTTTAAGCGAGCTATTTTGGGAATTTCGCAATTTGATGCAATTCACTACTTTATTCCTGAATTCAAAGAGCTGAACCCTCAATATATGGTAATATTATTGTGATAATATTGTTGTATTAATATTATGGTGATAATGGTGTTGTATATATGAAAGTATAATATTAATTTATTACATTCAAAGTATTGTAACATAAAATTTATGTTCATAAATTTTACAACACAAAAATATAATAAAACAGTAACAAAATTTATAAAACAAGTATTAAAACCTACCACCAAATTAAATACAAAATAAAAACACCAGAACAATAATAAAAACTTGTAAACAACACACCGTTGTAGTTACAAGAACAAAACTACTGTATGCTTCGCACCTCGCGGATATAAAAGGCGAAGCAAAAGCGCAAGAAAGACATACAGCGAGGTATCGAGCTAAAGAACAAGTCGTTCCAGAACATACGTGCTGAAACATCAAGAACCGAAATTTACATCTCGATTCCTATTTTTTTATATATAATAGAAATACACATTTCTATTACAATAATTATTAATAACGAAATTAACATTTCGTTAGTAGTAATAGAAATATACATTTCTATTACTTATTTGTTCATAACGAAATCAAATTTTCGTTAATAAATTAATCGGTAAGGTGATAATTACACATGAATATTATCACCCATACCAAATCCACGGCAAAAGAAACTAACATTTCACTAGTAGTCCCGTAGAATAGAAATATACATTTCTATTATTTAGTTGTTTATAACACAACGTTTCGCTAGTATAGAAATATACATTTCTATTATTTACTTGCTGATAAAATAACATTTCGCAGTAGCCCGAAGGATAGAAATATACATTTCTATTAATTACTGGTTTATAAGATAGCATTTCGCTGGTGGTCCGTAGAATAGAAATATACATTTCTATAACTCATTAATAACGAAATCAACATTTCGTTAATAGCAACAGAAATAGAGGAACCTAGATCCGAATAATAAAACCTTTATTTACGTCATACGTCCTACCATAGCAAACTTTCCACTGCTCCTATCAAATAAATTTATTGTAGGACTGGACCTGGAATCCGCCGAGCAAAACCCCGGCCAGAAAGATTCGTTACAGTATTAAATTATATTAAATAGTTATTTAAACAAACACGTCTTTTATTTTGCTTATTTTGCACACAACTGCTCTATTTAGGATTGATCAAAAGGACGCAAGGCTGCATTTTGGATGTCTTATCTCACATATATGTATAATGATTTTTACAATATCCTAAATAAAAGCTTAATTTAATATATCTAAAAAATAAATATATAACACAAAAACAATTTGAAATATATATGACGTGATATTTGACTAGCCACGGGATATTGATCGGTGCCTTTTCCATAGTAATGAAGAAGTAATATTTTATAATAAAAAGAGGACCGAAGTGACAAACCTTTTCCCTATTTGAAGACCTTCCTTTTAGTTCTCATAAAGAGAAATATTAAAATATGGATCTGCTAGTCTACTACCTGATTATTATTATTATTTTTTATTTTTTTTCTTTCTTTTTATTAATGCAACTAGTAAATATACTTAAGACTAACAAGCATTTTTAGTTTAATAAATTATAAATATTTACGCTAAGGGTTTATTACTTAGTGAGGTCAGAGGGTTTTATCCGTTTTAATCTCGGTACTGAGTCAGTTGCGTTGACTAATTGTAAAACTTCTGCATTTTTATGTTGTGTAATTTTCGTTGCGTGAGCAACAGTATACGTTTTTATGACGTTTTCAACGGGTTTGATTGCTAGGTCACGATGTAGGTCTCCACTACGAATGTGCCAGGGCGCATTTACAAAATTTCTAAGGACTTTGTTTTGGAAACGCTGTATTATCATAACATTGCTCTTACTGGTGCATCCCCAATAACTGTGTACCGTAAGTCCATACAGGCTTTGAAATTTGATTGTAAATCAGAAGTTTATTTTGTGTCGATAACACTGAACGCCTACCGATTAACCATTTTATCTGCTTATACTTTAGTTCAAGTTCTTTTTTTTCTTTTTCACATGCTCTTTCTAACGTAGTTTAGCGTCTAAAGTTATACCTAAGTATTTCGCTGTATTCGCATAGGGTATTTCCAGTCCATTTATATTTAATTTGCAGTGAGAGACCCTTTTATTCGTAAAGTCAACATGTACCGATTTTGTATTGTTAAGCATGAGCCGCCATTGTTTAGTCGTTGTTTCGTCCACTGATTAACATTATTAATAGCTAACTGGAGAGTTTTAGTTGATTCCATTTTATTTGAACCAATTGAAATTAGAGCTGTATCATCAGCAAACGTCGCAATTTTACAATTTTCTGTAATTGGGATATTATTAGTAAACAAAAGAAAGAGCATAGGACCAAGGACGCTTTCCTGTGGGACACCCGCTTTAATTTCTTTAAGGTTTGAATAACAGCCTTCTTATTTAACTCGAAAATATCTATTTGTTATATAAGATTCTATAAGATCGCAATATTGTTCTGGCAATTGCTTCCGTAATTTTCTAATACGACCTTGATGCCACACCTTGTCAAATGCCTGCGAGATATCAAGAAACACTGCCGAACACACTTCCTTCTTTTCCATACAGTTTTCTATTGTACTACTAATTTGATGGACTTGATGAACTTGTTAAGTGGCTGGTTCTAAAGCCGAATTGATGATTTCGAATTAGGACTTGTTTTTCTATAAGATTTGATAGTCGCTTTTTAAATTACTTCAGCTACTTTCCAGCAGGAGGGTGCGTATCTCAGTTTGAAGCATGTGTTGATGAGAAATGTCAGAACTTTGATGGTATTTTTTTGGCAAATTCTTTAGAATCTCAGCTGTCAAGAGGTCAAATCCTGCAGCTTTTTTGGGCTTTAGAGACTTAATAATGTATTTTATTTCCAGAGCAGAAGCTGGTGGTATGCGTAATTAGCTGTTTAGTTTCAAATTAGCCGAAATATTCTCTTCAGTATTTTTTATTGTAAAAGTACTTCTAAGATATTACGAAAAGACTTCTGCTTTCTGCTGATTGCTTTTTGCCCAATTATTTTCAAGTTTTAATGGCGAGGAGTATGTCACTGGTCGTCGGAGGTTTTTTGTTGCTTTTCAGAGTGAGGAGTGTGAATTCTTTTCGAGCGATCAATTGCCTAGAAATGTTTTGAATGAGTCGTTTTTCAAATCTCTTATCCTTTGAGTCAACCTTTTACAGGTTTTATTGAGCAGAGACTTATCTCCAAGTGATCTGGTCATTTGCCACTTCCGTCTAAGTTTGCGTTTTTCAGTAACTAATTGCTTGATTTCATTGGAATAGTTGCAGCCAGTAGTAACCTGCTTTATGACGAGAGTACTATTCTAACAAGCTTTATGTATATTTTCCGTCAATTTGTCTATATAGTTGGTGTTCTAGTTGGCTTTCTAGTTGGTGTTCATCTTCAATGGCGATAACATGATTTATCATTAATTGATTCGCAAGTGCTTTAAAAAGCTTCAAATCTGTGAATTTATTAGCCAGAAAATACGGATTTTTCTGTTTTTACTTAATTTCAATAAAGCTTTTAGAAACTTTTCTTAAAATAAAAAAGGCAATAAGATCAGTGGCTCGTTTATGTAACTTTCTCACTTCGTTTTCTCGAACGATTTTCTCACTTTTGACAATTACTCACTAGAAGTGTTTATGTAACTGTGGTGAATTGTTTTCTCACTTTTTCGTTCGAGTTTTTGTCACCTGTCAAATTGCTTGCGAGAAGTTTTGAATTTTGAATTTAAAGTTATACAAAGTGATAGTGACGACATTTGTGATTTCTTTAAATAAAATATTTATTAATATAATCATAATGTAAGTAATGTAAGTATTTATATATTTACACACATATATATATAATATTAAATATATTATTATTTCCAAGACCACTGATGAAGGGTATTTGGCAATACTCGAAACAGCTGTATGGTCAGCCAAGAATTCAATTAATTAAAATAATTTAAAAAAACAAAAAAAAAAAAGCAAAAAAAATTAATTTTTGTTGTTGTTTCACTTCTGTTCGAAAACCTCTTTATATATTATTATTATTAATATTGATAAGTAAATTTCATTTGTGATTTTTTAGACGTAAAAAGTCGTCTGTAAAAAGAGACTGTCGTAAAAAGACTGAAATATTTTGGAAAAATTGTGCTGAGAAACTAAATGCTTCTGGAGGATCCAATAAAACTCCAGAGCAATGGAAAAAAGTAAGTTAAAGTGAATAAATTAAAATTTTTGGTACAAGTGCTATTTGTTATTTTAATTTTATTTAATTTTACATACATCTTAAACGAAATAAATAAAATACGTATAGCAATACATAATACAAATATTTTGCAAATTTGACCGTTACCGCACCAATTTCGTTGTGGTTACGCTTACCATACGTATGCGGAAAAATTCTACTTATATTTTATGTACTTTGCAGATTTTATTTTATTATTTTAATTTATTAAATACAATTTATTTACCCTTATTTAACACTGTGAAATTCAAAATTATGAAATTACTTATTATTACTTATTACTTATAGTGCTGGGCGGACTGGAAGCTATCGGTAAAAAAGCAAGCAACTGCAATGAAGCGCTTTTGTGAACAAACTGGCAATCCACCGGATAGTAAAGGGCTGAAAGCTCTTGAAGGAGCGGATAAAGAAGTGTTAAAGTTGATTTCGGAGCATGCAGTGGATGGGGATCAAAATACTCCCGAAGCAGGCATTCCGGTAAATAAAAGACATGTTTTTTGTTTTACATATTAATAACAACAATTTCTGTTTTCTTTTACAGTATCAGCAATCAGCAGATTCCTATGAGATAGAGTTTTTGGAGAGTGAAGAAATTATAGATAAAAACTTTACTTCTCCAACGCCCACACTGCAATCAATAACCGCGTTCTTTACCATCAGCAGCTAAAAAGAAAAGGAATGAGACTTGCTTGTCCGAACTCAAGCAAGTAAAGAGCTTCATTGCTGAACAAAACAATAGGCAGCACCAAACATTACAAGAGATGCTCACAGTTCTTAAAAGCATCGACAATAAGTTGGATGTATAAATTTCCAACACTAAAAAAGAATAACCAAAACAAAAAAAAAATATACATATATTTACTTAAATATATATAATATTTTAAAAGTATATAATGTACTATTTATTTATTATCTTAATTTTATTAATAACAAAAATAATAATAATAAAAATAGTCTTAAAACAAATTTAAATAAAGTTTTTCAATTAAAATATGATATTATTATTAAAATTAAAATGATATTAACTAATTAAAGAAAAAATTAATGAAAATAATTCCTTGTAATAGATTCCCGTACTCTTCGGCCTTCATTTAAAATAGAAGCACTGCTGTACAAATCTGAAGAATCGGTTTCTGTTTGTTGGTGATCTTGTACCTCCGGCATGGGTAAGTTATGGTTTTTTCTATAATTGTGCAGAACACAACAGACATTTACTATAGATCCCGCATAAGCAGGACTAACCATCAGACCACGTTCAAATGACAAGCATGCAAAAACCGTTTTAAGAACTCCATTCAACCGTTCAATGCAATTTCGAGCTTTAATATGCTTTGCATTGAACTTTCGCTAGCTTGCATTTTCAGAATTTCTAAAAGGAGTCATTAACCATGGTTGAAGAGGATATCCGGAATCACTCAGTAACCAAATTGAGTCATTATTTTGCCTGTGATTGACTTCTAGGAACTTTTTGATTGCGCTGTTCTCCCATATGAAGGCATCATGCGTACTTCCACCATAACGAGCATAGCTTCCCAAGATTTTTAAATCAAAATCGCAAATGAGCTGCACATTTTTTGAAAAATAACCTATTCTATTTCTATAGCAATGCTCCACTTCTATATGCGGTTTTTTTATTTTAATGTGCGTGCAATCAACAGCACCTATTACCCCTGGAAAGCCTGTCGCATTGAAAAATCTGTGTGACACCATCAATTACTAAAATGCATCAATAAAACAAATTTGTTACCTTTGTTTAACAGTATTCTGTTCATCTGCATAAGTGAGAAATCTTATGTACTTCTGTATCAATTTATCCTGAATAATAAAAGTCATTTTTTTATTACCAAGCATAATGTTGACTTGCTCATTGGGCACACAAAGTCTTGTCCTATGTCGCGCAAAAACGACCCTATTGCATAAAAATGCAGCGCAGCAGTTAGCCTTATATGCTTCGGTATATAGGTCTTTCTAACCCCAATCCTCATAAATGGACATATTTCTTCTAAAAGGCGTAGAGTTATTTCCTTATTAAAGCGAAATAGCTCGACAAAACGCGCTTCTGGCAAATGAAATGGGTCAGTTGAATCACGTAAATGCCTTCGATGAATGCGAAGCATATTTCTGCGGTCATGTACCACTACAGTTAAAACAGTAAGATATTCCATTTTTAATTCTGAAAAAGAGGCAATATTTATTTATTCATGATTTTCAAATAATTTTGAATATCTTACCGCAAACACTAAGCAACCTTTTAAAATTGTTTCATTTTTGTTCCATTTTTCCATTTTCATCAGTTTCTCTTATCACACCATAACGTTCTCGTGTGGTGAATTTTTCATGTTAAGTGACAAAAGTGACAAAAAGCAAGTAAGAACTTTTCGAAAGAAATCGTTCGAGTTAAACTCGATTTGATTTTTCAGAAGCATCCCCGTCTTCGAAACTCATGTTTTAGGTCATGAATTCCTCGGCTCTACCGGTTCTACCTCGGCGCGTCGTAATAGTACTGCCCCATTCTACTGCCCAAGCATTGAAATCTGCTGCAACAATGATGGGAGTTTCGTTTCTGACTGTTCCTGATAACCTATCAAGAAATTTTTCAAATCTCTCTTGAAAGATATTTGGGGGATATATAGATACCTCGGATGCCAACAAGTAATACCTTCCTTTTGTATCAAGACGCCTGGTTTAAACATTATGTCCTGTCCTAGCCAAATGGCTGCCTTTGCAGAAGAATCTTGTACCTATGTAGTGGTTTCTTTTGATTTGTAAATTTCCCTAATTACAAGTACATCCGACTTTAATTCCAAAGCTGTTTGGGATAAGAGGTCTTGTGCAGCCTTACATTGATTTAGATTTAATTGCAGAAATTTAATCATTTTTTAGACTTAAGCTCCTGTATAGCCTTCCTGTAGGATTCACATTTGGAATTTCTTGAGTAGTGTAGATGATCACCCTTGCAGTTTTCCGGACATAGGTTGCATTTTAGTTCAGCCAAGCTCATTTTTTGCCCTATGCCCATCTTCTGCACATCTCATACATGTGCTTGATCGATTATTATCGCTTTTGCACTGTCTAGCAGAATGTTCAAATTGGAGGCATTTAACGCGATTTTACTAAGTTTGACAGACTGTGTTGTCCAGCGCGCGTTATGCTGTTCAGCGCATTCCGCTGATCATGTTCTGGGTTCTTTGCACTAATGTGATCATCTGTTTGTAGGAACACTTCTGTAAGACCAAATTGTAAAATATTTTTACTGCCCCGGGACGGGTTGGGTGGGTGCACAAATAACACATTTCTTATTGCTTGGATTGCCCATATCTACACTGATTATATACCCATTGCTGTGATCTATCGAATATTCATGTATGTTCATTTCGTTAAGAGCGTCCTGAGTGGTCCCCACACTAATGTTACTAAAGGCCCCTCCTATATCTAAGAAGGCAGCTAAGGTGGATTGTTTATATCCTTTTTTCCACAACGGTTACTACCTCATGTAGAGCCATTTTCGTGGATTTCCCCTTGAAATAAGCATGCTAAGCGAAGCTAGGTATCGATCTGATATAAGCGTCTATAAGTCTTAAATCTTAAACAAGAAAGAATTCAGACTGATGGGTCTGTAATCCATCAATAGATGTAATCTATTCTAACTGTCTTTGGAATAAATACTACTTTAACTTGACTTCATGCTTTTTGGACATGTTTAAGTGAAAGGCAGCTGCACAAAATCGTGGATAGCAAATATACAGCAACATTTTCCAGAGATTCTATCATGATTGTTCTGCACAAGCAGGACTTTTGAACGGGACGTAGAAGTCGATTTTCCATTTGATCCTTCTTAAGGATACCACTTACTGTATAATTTCACCAGAGTTGGCTGAACGATACGGTAGTACCTTTGGGGTTCGTCGGAAGAGCCATGAAAATGGGTATCTACTAATTGTGAGAAGGATTCAGTTAACTATTAAACTGTACTTCTATCTGCTTTATTAATGACTGAGGGGCCAGAATGCCCACTCACTAACAGTTTGACTAATCTGGCCGATTCTTTAATACACTCAATTTTCTAGCAATAAGAATTCCATGGTATTTTCTTGGGTTGCCAAAGCGTTTTCTTGCAAACCGATAAAGCATCCTTATATGGGGAGCACACCTTGGTACGATAGCTTTCGTTGAAAACTTTTCATGCATTGTTGCGTAGCATAAAGAGCTTCTCGTTCCACAATGGTGGCCTACATTTCTTCGCATAAGAGCGGGGGTACGATGCTTCAAAGGAGGATGGAATATTATGGGTGTATGATTTTACCCTACTTTTTAATTCCCTAATCGAAATAATTGGAATCGCGTTATTATCGATCTTGCTATTAGACAATGTACTGAAAGTATCCCAATTTGCTTACCTGGGATTAAGTTGAGATTTTTAAGCTAATATGGGAATATTCATCACAAACATGATGTATCTATGATCAATGAAGGCGTTTTTCACTGAGATACTCTAGTCATTGATCACTAAAGAACGGAAAGTCAAGCAGAGCGTAATATCTAAAACCATTTCCCAACCTACATGATCATCCGTACTATGAAAAACTAAGCTTTTTAAGCTTTTTACAAATTACAACTATATCTTAATATAATATCAAATGATTTTCAAACTTTCACACAAGGAGTGTCGGGCGTTGACATCACAGCCAATAATCAAAGCTAGCTGTTCGTCAGTGCGAAATTGTGAACCAGTTCTACCTTCTTATCATCATGTGGTATGTAGATAGATACTATTAGACCTATAGGCTTACCTAGTCTTTAAGCATAGAAAAGATTTTAGCTTCTCTCTGAGTAAGATAACCAGATTATCTGTAGCATATTTGGAGTGTTTAAGATTTATCTGAATGATCTTGGCCATTAGCGCATCAACAGAATTTGTTATCAGTGATGAGATCATCTTTCAACTTCCTAGTACCGTTTACCTCATCCAAAATGATGTTCGGTGGTGCAGTTTTGAAATTTTTGGACTGGCCAGCAATCTTCATTAATGAGAAAGATGTATGACTCATCGTCATATCTGATTCTCTGATTCTCATAACCAATTCGGATAGTTTAGTTTCATTCAGCGCCACCTTTTATCAACATTTTCCTATTTAAGTTGCATTCGTCGATCAAAGCCACACTGAGATGATCCCTCGTCTCTTCACTAAAGAGACGAGCATCCCCCGTTCCGTTCTTACGCTGCTATGCTGCGATCTTCCTGGCATCTGTTTCACTTGCCGCCATCTTCGAAATTTTTGCCATTGATAACAGATTGGGGCAGACTCTCTTCATAAAGATACTCCTTTACAATAGCGCGGATATTGCCTTCCATTTTATTGCTCTCGATCTCCACAAAAAATAAAAAAAAGGCCATGCTGACCGTTTTTTTAAATATTGGCGAGCGGTTTGCATTTGGTCTACTAAGACTGGTAGACACAGTGCTGTCGGAAGGTTTGAGTGACCAATGGTTTGGATTAGACGCTGGTAACTGGTGCAACCGGTATGAGAATCTGTGATGATTTCGTCATCAGATTTCAATAGTCCGTCCTTCATGAGTTTGATTGCTTTATACTCTCCAATCACAAGTTTCGAGACAATATCGGAAGCATTCATTTTCATAACATGATCGACAATTATTTCCCAAGGCGGCTATGTATTGAAAAAGCTCGGCAAAAATATATTCGGACAGATCACTTGACTGCTAAAAAATGCCCAGTGTGAACGGATAGCGTAACACTCTCGGGCTAAGGGGACCTTCATATCATGTTCAAAACGCATTGATTGATGCATAGCTATTGAGAAGCTACGGACACTCACTCAATTGTTTCTTATTTTAACTGGGCACCGCCCAGCCAACGTACAGGACGAGAGTTCTGTGTGAACCATTTCCCGGCGGTCTCCTCGTTGAGCGTTCAGCAGAAGAATTATTGCACAAGTATTTTTCGCAGTAAACACATGTCAAACATGCCAAGATATTCTGAATATTAACAGGAGAGACAGTAATCCAATTTGAACATTTGGCCCGATGTATAGTAAATCACTGAGAGATTGTCCTGATGACATTTTCGATGATGCGATAGCGGTAGTCTCTAGCTTGTTAACACATTGGTATAGGATAAAACAGTTAAGAACATGATCTTATTGCTGTTTATCTCAGATATGTGTCGCAATCTTTCATATTTGTTAAGAAATGAATATTCTAATGTTTGACGTGAATATCCCTTGAAACTCTGAGATCTATCGCTTAGAATCCATTTATATTAATATCTTTTGAATCTCCTAATGTCAATTTATTGTGATACCAAAGAGAAATCTGGTCACAAATGGCAGATAGTATAAAAAAAAAAGGGGAAAACTTCGACAAAACTGGACCTGGCTAAAGCGCCAAAAGTGAGACCGGAAGCAATTCTCATTAGCAAAACGGCATACAAGTCTTACGCTGAAATATTAAAACTCATTACATCAAAACCAGAGCTGCAAGAAATTGGAAAAAACGTGAACAGAATCCGAAAAACAGGGAAGGGGATATATTAATTCAGCTTACCAAAGAAACTGGAACTTTAACCAAGGACTTCTGCACTGAAATGAGGAACACATTTCAGGATTATGCTAGTGTAAAATCCTTAACACAACACACTCTAATAGAATGTATGGACTTGGACGAGGTAACGTCCAACGAAAAGGTTTGTGCGGCGATTGCTGATCAATTTCCAGCAATGAAAATAAGCAATATTAACGTCAAGTTTTGGCGTTCCGCAAGGGACGACACACGACCAGCGATTATTGAAATCCCTACTAAGAATGGCAGTGTACTGATCATAGCTGCCTTAGTCAGAGTAGACTGGGTGCGCAGTAGGATCAGAAAGCATGTTGCACCCATGTGGTGCTTTAAATGCCTCCAATTTGGACATTCTGCTAGACAGTGCAAAAGCGATAATAATCGATCAAGCACATGTATGAGATGTGAAGAAGATGGGCATAGGGCAAAAAATGAGCTTGGCTGAACTAAAATGCAACCTATGTCCGGAAAACTGCAAGGGTGGTCATCTACACTACTCAAGAAGTTCCAATTGTGAATCCTACAGGAAGGCTATACAGGAGCTTAAGTCTAAAAAATGATTAAATTTCTGCAATTAAATCTAAATCAATGTAAGGCTGCACAAGACCTCTTATCCCAAACAGCTTTGGAATTAAAGTCGGATGTACTTATAATTAGTGAATTTTACAAATCAAAAGAAACCACTACATAGGTACAAGATTCTTCTGCAAAGGCAGCCATTTGGCTAGGACAGGACATAATGTTTAACCAGGCGTCTTGATACAAAAGGAAGGTATATAACTTGTTAGAATCCGAGGTATTTATGTATGCAGCTGCTACATATTCCCAAATATCTTTCAAGAGAGATTTGAAAACTTTCTTGATAGGTTATCCGGAACAGTCAGAAACAAAACTCCCATCATTGTTACAGGAGATTTCAATACTTGGGCAGTAGAATGGGGCAGTATTATTACCACCCGCCGAGGTAGAGCCCTATTAGAGACGTTCTCCTCACTAAACCAAATACAACTGAACAATGGGTATAGCCCAACGTTCGATGTTGGTAGAGGCGTATCCTACATAGATCTCACCTTTGCCAGCCCATCATTACTAAGGTGTTCGCAATGGAAAGTAACGAACTACTACACCCATAGCGCCCACCATGCAATTTGCTTTTCAGTATCGTTGAGAGAGAAGTTTGTTTTAAAAAAATCGCAAAGCAAATAGGCTGGTCAACTAAGTATCTCGACAAAGAGGTAATGGAATTCATGACCGAAAACATGAGTTTCGAAGATGGGGATGCGCCAAACTATTGGTGGACGGAAGAAATAGCTTCACAAAGATCTCAATGTTTTGCCTCCCGTAGGCAATTTCAACACCACAGATCTGGAGTAGATGTGGAAAGGCTTCTACAAAAATACTGAGAGAACAGATCCAAACTTAAAAAGACAATTATTAGGAGTAAGAACTACGCTTTTCAAACTCTGTTTAATGATGTAGACCAAAATGTATAGGGCGATGGTTACGAAATAGTAATGCGTAAATTTAAGATGTTAGGAGGCTCGGTACCTTTTTGCCCTAAAATAATGCCGAATATTGTCAAACATTTGTTCCCAAAAAAGAGAGTATTCAGAATCTTAATATCGATAAACACCGAATTAAATGAGATCCCCCCGGTTACAAATTCTGAAGTCAAAGCCGCTTCTTCAATAGTTAAACCCTATAAATCTCCTGAATTGGGTGGACTCCCAATACTGTTCTGAATAAGGCAATACAAAAACAAGCTACTATATTTAGAGATGTGTTCAACAGCTGCCTGCAGGAAGGAATTTTTCCTTCGTGTTGGAAAAAGCAATTCCTAAAGGTAATAACCCCTCAGAACTACCATCGTCTTAAAGACCTTTATGCTTACTAGATACTGCAGGTAAGGTCCTTGAAAGAATTATATGTTCTAGATTAGAAAAATTCACGGAGGCAAGTGAGGGTCTGTCAAATAACCAATTTGGCTTTAGACCTAAACGCTGTACTGTTGATGCTATACTACATGTGTGCAACATTGTGAAGGAAGCCACTAAGGGCTTAAGGTGGCTAGATGGTACTAAAAAGTTCTGCGCGGTGGTGACTTTAGATGTTAAAAATGCTTTCAACTCTGCTGAGTGGAGCAGTCTCTTAAATGCACTGATGAAGATAAGAGCCCCAGAATATCTTTTGAAAATAATTACATCTTATTTTAAAGATACATTGCTCTTATATGATACAGAATCCGAACCCAAAACATATAAGGTTACGGGAGGGGTTCCCCAGGGATCAGTTCTAGGGCCAATTCTATGGAATATCATGTACGATGGTATCCTTCGAATTGGAAAGCCGGACGGAGTGAACGTTGTTGGGTATGCAGATGATATTGCAATAGTAGTGCTTGCAAAAACTTTAGACAAAGTGGCTAGGAATTGCAACGCCGTGCGGGAGTATTGACTGAACGTATGCCAATAGATCTTGAAGCGCTCTTGACCAGAGACAGTTTTTTCTTGCGTTCTCGTCTATGAATGACTGAAACTGAGCAATCTCTGTCAGATTCTTATCTAGAAATAAAAGACAAATACCTTAATGAATGGCAACATAGGTGGAACCATTCCCAAAAATCAAGATGGACGCATACGTAAATTTCAAATATAAAAGTTTGGATTAACCGAGAATCTGGAGATTTGAGATTCCAATTAACGCAGTTCCTTACGGGGCATGGCTGCTTCCGTGAATACTTATACAGGTTCAGGCTGGCAAGTAACCCGTACTACCAGTTTTGCCCGGATAATATTGAAAGTCACGACCATATAATTAGAGACTGTATAAGATTCGTAAATACTAGACAAAATCTAGAGACACTATTTGGTGAAGCCAGCCCTTCTACTATGGTAATGCAGATGTTGGCAAGCATTGAAGAGTGTAATTTCCAGTATTGTGGGGACTGAGAATGTGCGGACTTTTTAGTCCATAGGCATATATGACTCTATTGAGTCGTGCATGAATTGGGCATGCAAATGGATCTGGCCATTTGTATCTTTAGAAGATTTTACCTATAGGTTCGACACCAAAAAAAAAAGAATCGCGTGTTGAAAAATACAGGGCAGTTGTGCAGCAAACTCAGAAGTGTGTAATGGTACTAAATTAACCACTCCGCGAAAATAAATATGAATTAAGATGAATAAATATTCATCGTCTCTGAAATACAAATGGTTAGATGTTTCGGAAGCGGTTTGTACATACTAAAATTAAATTTAATGTTTATTGAATTTGTCTAATTAATAAACAACACTATAAATAACTCAAGGGAAATAAAATATTTTCATACATTAAGTAAACAATAGCGAAACTGAGATAGTTGACTGTGAATAATAGTCGTAAAAGAAAAGGGTTGTAGCTCAACATCAACAAAATATTCACCAATGACAAGAATAACAGGAGCATATGCAACAACAAATACAGCAATAGCATCACCAGCATCAGCAACAACTGCAATAGCACTACCATCATCATAATAATATAACAATAATCACCAACAGCTACAATAGCTGCCACAGCAGCGACTGTTAACTAGTGGCGGTTTCCAGCTTTCAATAAAGAAAAATAATAAAAATAGAACATGTGTATTTTCTTAAGTAGGACAGGGAACCTCAAAACAAATGCGTCAAGAGAGGTACACCATGAATTCACTGTTTCTAAGGCTTAATCAGGATTGAGTCAAAGCAGTAGCGTACGCGGACGTTGCTGTCCTTTTAGTAACATGTATGTCTTCTTCAGTAAAGATTTAAAGTGGAATCATTTCCACAGAGCATTGTCTCTTACTATAAACATGGACTTTCGAGGAAAGGAAGCATATATTCTTACTGACAATAAGGTGGTTATTAAAGCTTTATTAGGGGGTCTGTAATTCATTCAGATTAGTAACAATTTAAATTCATTATTAGACACTCAAATTTAGTTAAACAGAATACTGACAACATCCGTTTTCATATAACGAAAATGTTGTGCAAACTATTCAAATTTTATACAGGCTATCTCACAAGATGACCTAAAATCAATTTAAACCCTAGAAACAATAATGGGATAACAAAAACTTTAAAACTAACCTGATACCTGAAATGAAATAAACTATTTGTCAAGGTCGAACTCTGTTCCATGTACTACGGATCCTCTCACCAGTTTAGAAGAACGTAAAAATCATTATTTAGAAATTGTGGAATTTGAGGCTAGATTAGGATAAAACATTACTAATCGAATTATAAAAATAATGGGTAGAATTTTTGAAATAATTGAATTAATTAATTTCAAGTGCAAAGTTTCTGTCATAGTTCAATTGCACATTATCATAAAAGCATATGGCACTACAGCATACTTGCCAACAAAATTTCGGAATTGGAAATATTATTAGTTAAATTTTTGTGTAAATAAAAATGAAAAAAAATCGCGTATTGATCTTTTAAAAAAATTGACATCACATCGTCTCGTACTTTGTGTGGTTGTAGTAGATACAGAACTAGCAATAATGATTAAGATCGATTTGCAAAAAAAAACTATCACACTTCCGCTTGATGTGATTGACATATACTCATGGCATGGATCAATTTTGCATCATAAAGGCTTAATACTTTCGACGCAAACAGAGTAAGCACAGTTAAACAGATTGTCAAACAGATTGCTAGTTTATCAGGTCAGTAAGTTTAATGCAGTTTTGTAGATAATCCTGTTGACAATCTTTTAAAATGTCAAGCATCAAATATGTTGCTTGAAGAGTCATAGTCTCTAAAATCGTCGTCATGTTTAAATTTTGAAACATCCAATTGATTCCAATTGACTCCACTACATTTTTAGCATTACGACACGCATCCACAAGAGAGGAAATTAATAGTTCAGAAGGATATATTATCTGCATTGACTTGAGTATAAACTCCATAAAAATTCAAAATTATTAGCAACACCGTTCTGCGCATAGCCGTTATTTACATCAGTTATGGTATCTAGCCATTACCAGTATTTGACTAAAACGGTTTTTTGTGGCAACATGACCTTAATACATTTCATTAAGACCCTGTGTATGCCATAATAGACAGGGTCGTTATGCGGAGCATGGCATAAAGATCTTGTCTATAATAACGTGCTGTCCTGTCGCACGTATGTTCAATTCAATTTTCACACAATTCACAAAGTTGATAAGCATTTTACATATGATGTAATGACAATTTTACCATTTCATTGGATCATTGGTTTGTAGTCATGAAGTTTGTACACTGTATTTTAGCAGAGCCCTCTTAATATCTGGTACTCTTGGGGAGTAAGTTTGGTCCAGTCATGCTATAAGATGCTCACCATTACTCGCTTCCAAATTTTTCTCGGGTCCACCGTGACTGTTTTATCGTGCCAAGGAGATGATTATATAATGAAAATGGTTTTTTCTGGCAATACCTCAGA